CAGTGACCTTCGACGCTACTGCCGTTATGCTGACGCTGCGATGCGGGTGAGCAATCCTACTTATTATAGCCATAATGCAGCTGAGCTAACACAAACACTGCTGGAATATCCTCTGCTAATGTCGGGCAACAGCACCCATATATTTTGGAACAAGAATGCAAGCTCCTTATTTTGCGTAGAGTACATCCAAAAAAAGCAACCTTGCGTATATAATGTATACGATATACGTGCAATTAAACGGCTTTCATTGATTTGATCAGAAGTGTTGCAAAAAATCTTGCAACTAATCGAAATCTGCACATTACTGTGTGATTCATCGCTGAAATATGAAGACGGCCTATAAAGAATCTGTAAATGCAGTTTTAGTGATCCAAAAAATGTTCGGCGCTGCTTACTAGTTGTTAAGTGAAATGAGAGAGAACCGGGTCAGAATGAAAGCTAGGGATGCTTGGTGCCTAAAGGAACAAGTGAGCTTATAAACCCATTCGCACCTCTTTCCGCAATCACTTTCCGCATAGCCACCTGTTGTCATATGATACGCACATTATTCATTCGCAAAGGCTTTTTCATTTAATTAGTCGCCTTCGTTGTGTTGCGATTTATATGTGGTCGCAAGATCATGTGCAACTGCATTTATAGCAAAATGGCATAAAGTTTTCAAATCATGATCCAAAATTGTTAATTCTATAGTACTGGCAAAAACCAGTTCAAGGCCTTTCAAATCTCCTAGAATGCAAGTAGGAAAGTAGGAAGTAAAGAAGCAGCACTTCTAGGAATCTCTGGCACTCTTTCGTGGCTCACTATCTACGAAATTTCAGTTGCTTACGTTTGTGCAAAATATACAAAAGCACATTCACTTTTACCGGTATTACTGACTCACCAATATAAAGTGCCAATGCTGTCTAATTTATGGTCACAGCGGTGGTGTTGAAGGTCACGGTACTGATATACACGAAGTAGCAGAAGCATCTGCACACTCATCCACTAATTTATCCACTTCTCAATGTAGCAAGTCCTTTTCAAAGTGCTCCACTCTCTAATCTCTCACGCACTACTCCGAAAGATCTCGACACTACCCCTGACTCCCTTGCCATCATCACCTTCTATTTCACTCTCTTAAGTCACCGCTTAACATGAGACCAATCATTTGATGCCTGACACTCACCTATGGACCCTACGTCATCTCTCACCAACACCAACATCAACACGATCGCCACACACAAAACATTATTTCACTTGTTTTCCATTTCCTCAAGGATAGTATATACGTGGCACGTCGAACACAACAGATAAAACACACACAGACGCTGGCTGCCTTAGCAGCACGAGACGGAGTTGTCAATTCAGTTCG